GGTATACCACCTCTACCCGGATACCCTGGAACTCCTGGATACCCAGGAACACCGGGAAAACCCGGTTTCCCCGGAATACCTGTAGGACCACCTGAACCTGGACACCCTGGAACTCCTGGATATCCTGGGACTCCCGGCACACCTGGGACACCAGGTTATCCCGGAACGCCTGGTATACCTGGAAAACCGCCACAACCGGGTCACCCTGGAATACCTGGCACTCCCGGCACTCCCGGTATTCCAGGCAAACCAGGGTATCCTGATACACCTGGACAACTACCTCCGCTGGGACACCCTGGAACACCAGGATACCCTGGGGCACCAGGAACGCCAGGACGACCGGGCACTCCTGGTCTTCCTGGACCACCTGGTGAACCCCCTCATTCCGGTTATCCTGAAATTCCTGGAATCACTGGTATACCGGGCAAACCTGGACGACCGAATAAGCCTGGAAAGCCCGGCCATAACGGTTCTCCTGATATGCCTGGGGGTAATCTCCATCCACCAGGAGGAATCCCTGGTCTGGAAATTGTTCCTGGTACTCCGCCGCATACGCCACAATCTGAATATCCTGGAAGCCCTGGAATATCAGGAGTGCCCGGTAGGCCAGGTAAACCCGGAAAGCCTGGGCATCATGGGAAGCCAGGACACCACGGAAAACCGGGACAGAATGGAAAGCCAGGACACAATGGAAAACCAATGTCACCAGAGTCTCCAGCTGGCCCTGCATACCCCGGATATCCAGGTTCTCCTGGAACTCCGGGAATACCTGGATCGCCGGGAATACCAGGAACACCTGGGAAACCAGGATTTCCTGGAACTCCTGGCACATCAGGTAAACCTGGAGATTCAGACAGTCCAGGTGGACCTGGCACACCACCTTATCCACCTCATCCAGGATATCCTGGAATACCATCAACTCCTGGCTCACCTGGTGCACCCGGAACGCCATCGTATCCAGGGTACCCTGGTACTCCTGGTAGGCCGGGATCACCTGGCGCTCCTGGAATTCCAAGCACACCAGGCACTCCAGCCCATCCTGGATATCCGCAAATACCAACTCCTCCACCACACCCTGGATATCCTGTATACCCTGGAACTCCGGGCACTCCTGGAACTCCAGGGATACCAGGTACTCCAGCTCATCCCGGATATCCAGGTACTCCAGGCATACCCGGTACTCCTGGCACGCCAGGCAGACCTGGAAGGCCTGGTAAACCTGGAAGACCTGGTACACCCGGCACTCCACCTTACCCACCACAACCCGGCCATCCTGGAACTCCCGGTATTCCTGAGACACCTGGAACACCAGGATCACCTGGATATCCTGGAACACCTGGAACTCCAGGATCACCTGAATATCCTGGAACACCTGGCAAACCAGGTAAACCTGGTCATCATGGACATCCTGGAACGTCAAAACCAGGTAAGGAAGATATTCCTAGATTTACAAATTTGTGTAATATATATTAGATGTTGATTTTATAAAGTAGTCTATTTTTTAAAATGTGGCTTCGCGGATTTAATGATTACATCATTGATCATTATGCAATTTTTTTCCAAATTGCTGAGGAATTTTTCAATAGATATGTAAGTGTATCTTGTTTAAATTGTAGATTTATGTGTATGTAATGAAAATTACAGGTCATGGTCAGTTTCCGCAATATCCAGGATATCCTAGTGAACCGCAAGCACCAATTGGAGATGTGGGTCCTGATGGTCCCAATGGGCCATGGCCTAATGGTCCTGATGGGCCCGAAGGATCGGGCGGCCTAGGAGGTCCCGAGGGTCCTGGCGGCCCCATCGGCGGTATTGGAGGTGATGGCGGAGTGGGTGGCGAGGGCGGCGTTGGACCAGATGGTCCGGATGGTCCATGGCCAACTGGCTCACCTGGTCCTGACGGTCCATGGCCCGGTGATCCAGATTACGTATCCGGCGTGAAGGCAACATCTGCAGCTCATTACGAGGGACCGATAAAGCTTCAGTACCCATTAAAGCAGTACGAGCCCACGACTTCGCCTAGCTTAAGGGAACCACCTTTCGGCAGCTACGGACAAAAACAGGTGGATCGGTTAACTTCTGCGTCTCAGTTTGATTCGGGTTACAAACGAGGTGAATCGGACGATGAAAACTACGAGAAATACGTGGAATCCACTGGCTTCCAATACCCAATCAAAATCAGCAGTCCCTTTGGCTCAAAAGACACGCGCTACCAAGCTCAATACAATCAAGGACAAGTGAACCTGGACGCAGACACCATTAATGCTCTTCTTCAACGGAAAGAATCTCGCAAATACGTGGACCAGCAGAACGAGAATATTCCTGTGACGAAGACAGTGCGGCTGGAAAACACCTATAACGAAGTGAAGACCAATGGCAGGTACGCCGGCGAGGAAGAGTTCGATCAGAGCTCTCGGGGACATCGTAAATTTTCTCAGCAGGTGAACAAAGTCAACCAACCCGACCGAGGCCGCCCTATCGTTCAGGTGGAGACGAACGGCGGCCGCGACGAGACGCAGAAGAACGTAAGGTATCAGTCAACGGATGGCGATAACGCGGCTCTGATCAAACAGGTAAACGAATTGTCCGAGCCGTTAGAGCCTAGACCAGGCGTGACTGCTATTGGGGTACAGCCTCCAAGCAACAAGCCCTACCAACAGTCAATAGGGCCAGATCCCCAAACCTGTCCTTGCTACCTTGTCGAGCCGAGCAATGATACAACGACTACCACGAGCACGACACCCGTTCCCCTTATCGGTCAGCTTGGCTTCATTCCCGTGGTATTCATACCATACTGTCCAGGCGACGAGACGGACAGCCAAACCATGAAAGACATGTTCCCGTCCGCTATGCCTGTCCCGTACACGTGCAACGCATGCGGTTCGCAGACCGGCCAGATCGAAACGAAGCTTCTCAGCCTGAATCAGCTTGGGAACATCGAGAACCTGCGCGAGGCGTTGCGTCAAGCGAAACTCGGCTTTTTGAATGTTTCAGCTCGTAGCCGAACCGAGAGGCGACGAACGAAAACACGGAACGCCAAGAGAAGAGTGTAATTGTAAACCCGAGGGGCAATTGAGCCATGGCCAATCGGCCGTCACCAAGTTCTCCCGTGTACAAACATGATGTCCCTGAGACGACGATAAACCGCTGCCCGTCCATCAGCTGCTGGACAGCTGACGGATGGCCATGAAGGACACGATGATCGTGGCCCACGCGTCTCCGTTATCACTATGAAACGAAATATGATTTATAAATCACGTTGATCACACACGAACCCACCAACTATAATCCCCCGGAGGTATGGTATTGCGCCGGCAAGTGAATAGCCCCACCCTTCTCTTGTTTCCCTGCCTTAACTTCGAGTTGCGATAGCATTGTACGGAGATTTATGATAATCGAACGGTGGTGCTTCTGTAATTCCGCTTTACTGGTAGAAGCTGACTAAACAAGTCCCCAGCCCTAGATTAGGGTCGTAGTAACCTTTCGTTCATGCATTCGAGTAATTCTAGGACGACTAACACTGGAGACCAAGCAATTCATTTATTTATTCAAGCTGCTTGTTTTTTCGAAAATACTTTTTATCAATGAGGATCTATATTTCAATGTCAATCCTTTGGACGTAAATACTTTGTTGTTGTTAGTGTTGCATGCATAGTTCAGGCTTAAATTTTCTCTGTTTCCACAAAACTAAAATGAAAACGATTAAAAAAGTTAACGCAGGTAAAAGAGAGATCTTTTCGCGCAGACGCCAAGCAACATTTGAAAAGCTGATTCTTCTTATTAGTTATAAGGAAAGAGGTATTTTGCCCTATCATCTCATTATCATCAAGTCATATTTAATTTCAAGAATGCCCCTTCGTTTCCCACGATGTTTAGGAAGGCGACGATGACGCGTATCGCGCGCCCCACGCAGAAGTTTTTCGATTTAAGTTATACGAACATCGTGGGGAACGAATACATACGTTCCGTGCTCATCCTTGTATGCTTGAGATTAAATATTGATCGTACAAGGCCTAATAATACATTTATATCGGATGTGCCAATAGGTTATCCATTATAATTTGTCGAATTTAATATTTATTTTCGGTAATACCGAACATCCACGACGCATCGATGTTATTCTTGTTCTTCAATGTCCTGCGCCATTTTTAGAAAAGGGTGACATAGATATTCTAAAAATCAAGTCGACACTTTTATTTAAAAAGAATGTAATTGATTACTTATTTGCACACTTAACAGTACTCATTGAGCATGTACCGGACGGCTGTCGTATTTATATTTACCTCGATTGCCGAATGATTTGCAATAAGAAACGATATGCAGTCGATAACGATTGTTTAATACAACGGAACAGACCGTGCGCGACTGTACGTGCTCGATGCGTTCTTCTTTCTTTAACAGGTTATATTTTGTACATTGGATACAGCCTTATGTAACCATGTATCTTCTTATAGCGTAACGATCAACAGATTTTCAATAAATTATACATAATTGTACATATTAATATTGCGTTCATCTAGTGTTCCTTTATGAGCATCAATCATGTATTTTTAATAAATAAAACTAATCGTGAAATATACAATCGTGTTTGCTTTAGAAGAATATATTGAAATCAAATTTGTCCTTTTATAGTGTCAATAAATGTGCGTTCTCTAGTGAATTTGTCGAGTCGTAAATTCACACGCGATGATGATCTATTAATTCCGCTTCAAATCGTAAATCAGTGACGGAAAGCGATACGCAAAATTGTACTGCATTGGTTTATTTAACCACGTCGAAGCTCGATAGAGGGACAGATGTTCGATTTCGAACCATTTTGAAATAACATTACGGGGTCATTATTCATTTGTCGAGCTTGAACGAATTCGCAATCGAAGCGTACGAGATAAACGCATCGGACATCTATTTTGTATATTTACTACAAATAGGACACATGAAATAAGAATCATACACTAAACAAATGAAAGAATAATTTACTTGCCACCTGTTCATAAAGAAAAAGTATTTTGTAATGTACTAAGAATTTGTGTCCCAATTTTAAAGATAAATCAGAAACGTAATTCGTCATCGGAATGTCATTTATTATTATTAATATTATGTACATACATTACACGAAGAATTAATAAGTATTAAAAATTAAAGTAAATTAATTAGCGGAACAAATAAACGTATAAATGCCACATACGCAGTTAATCAGTATCCGCAGATACTGCTGCAATGTTCTGTTTGTTATTTGTTATGCGACCAGTGAATTGGTCCTGTTTGGACCTGTTTAAACATTTATAGAAATTGATATGATGCTATGCATAAAGGATACAACATCAAACATAAATATATTGGTCAAAGGAATATATTTATTTAAATTGAATTCATTGAAAACACAGATATATATTTTATTTAATCAATTAAGTGAATTCGACATAGATATTTTTGGCGTTGCAATTTTTATGCACAGCACTATACTGGAAGTTCAACCTCGAAAGTAAACTAAGAATAGCCTCTGTATCCTGAAGGATAGCTATAACTTCCATAACCGCTCCCGTGATAGGTATAAGGCTCATAGTTACTCCTCGTGCCGTACACGGATCCATAATTCGATCCTCCATACCCTGATCCATACCCATAAGCATCATAGCCACCGTAGCGTCCATAACCACCGCGTCCGTATCCATTATATCCGTCATCGTAGCCTAAACCGTAACTTCCGGTGTTGTATGGACTGTATCCACCATAACCTAATCCACTTCCGTAACCGCCATATCCGCTCCCATACCCGTAACCACCATAATTGGGATTGTATCCAGCATTTCCGTAATAACCGTACCTATACAGGAACAATCATGTCATAAAACTGATCTGATTTCAATGGGTTTCAGTTTATCCAATTAACGAATCTATACAAATTTACAGTAGCTAATTTCTCAATTCTCTGTACGCTATTTGTATTACAAAAATGTTTATGCAAATATTATGTATTATAATGGCATAAACTATTCTATCCCACTACAATGCAGAATAGTAAAGTTTCGTTGATTAGAACCCCTGAAAGCATCGTTATCATTGCAAGAATGGAATATGATTACACATCGATACTTTCATGAGAAACAAACACTTATGGTAATGTATATAATATTTCTACTTTCTTTCCACTGCGAGAATTTCCTAGATAAATGAAAACAAATTCCTCTTTACCGGTGTTTATATAATAACTAATGAAAACAGGAATTTGCATTAAGTTCCGCAGTCGACTCATTATTTCGAATCATCAAACACTCAAGGCTTCCAGCAATCCCGCGGCCTCTATGCCTCTCATGTTCATACGTGAAAGCTGTCATGCCAATTTAAGTCGGACGACAATTCCGTGACAAGTTTATGATAAGTGTATTATTCCATTTTGAATTGCGTTTGAACCTTACCCAACGTGACCGTTACCGACAATTCCGCTCGGACTATAGGCTGGATAGCCTCTGTACCCTGTATTCAAGTGTCCTAGATTATATCCTGCGCCGCGGTACCCTGCACCAGGACCGTAAATCGAGCCGTAGTAACTTCCGTAGGGCACGCTCCCACCATATCCGGGCTGACCATAATCCTTACTAATATGGAACGCTGGAACCAAGAAAGCTTTTAAGAAAATCAAAATCGTTAGGGGATCTGATAGTACCTTAGCCGCCTGGCAATTATTTCTCCTTAACCCTTCGTAAAACAGAATTACATACTGATCAAAATGACAGTTTGAATTCATTTTTTGTCTCGATATAATAACGAGAACTTTGTAGCATAACCAAAGTGTGTTTTCGCATTGAAATCATATTGCAAATTCGAGTTATAATAGAAAATTTAGGTATTTGCAAATTTGGGATCTAAAGGGTTAAATTTAAGGACGTATGGAAATATTGTATCCAGGAATGATAATATAGTTATAGTTATTATCCGTTTGTAACTTATTGGTATTATCCACTAGTAACACCTTATCTCATTCAAATTTTCATATATTTTCATACATGATTAATGTGTAATAATATCTACAATTCCATAGTGATTATATAATAATTCATAAAAGAGACTTCTTCGATGTAAGAAAACTTCTATTCAAGTCGAGTATCTCACACTTTACGGCGCGCAAAAAAGAATGGACAATACGTTAAACCTTGGCAAATTCCAAGGAACGTCAGAACGGTTTTCACACAAATACGTCCTCGCCTCGTGCCCTAACGGCGGAAATGACGCGATGTTAAACGATGCGTTTATGCATTCGAGATCAATAAATGTTAGCCGTTATCAGTGACGTTTCCGACTAAATGATTGGAAACATTGACAATATCTCAACACTTTAATCAACACCGGACACGAGCTCAAGGTTTAATTTTCACAATTAACGATATACATTACCTACTCTCCGCGCCAATCAAATTGTAATAAGAAATACTTAAGAATGATTGAAGTATTATATTTTATAATCGGAAGAATATTTTTCTCTTATTACAATGTCATTGGGATGGAGAGTACGTAATGCATATCGTTAATTATGAAAATTAGACATATTGATTTTATATAATAAGAATATTCAATATTCTTTATCTCAATGAAATTGTAACAAGAAAAAAATATTCCTTCGGTAAAAATATTACAACACTTTAATCATTAAAAAAAGTGTTAAACTTGAGTTGTATATATGAAACAAGATCGAATGGAAAATTAATTTTAATTTCTTTTTACATTCGTATACAAAAGTGCACATCTACATAAACATCCATCGTTTAAAGAAACATCGGTTAATTAACCGCTTTCCACGTTTCAATTCGGCGGGTGTAAAAGCCACACGGTGCGCGCATAACCGCGTGATTATTTAAGCTCGTGAACTCACTGTCCGTGCAGAATTGCGGCTATCCTCAGGACAGACAATCAATCGTTATCCAACGATTCTTGTATTAAATAAGTGTGTCACTACCGTTCCCACGATCGAACGTCTCAAACAGTTGCCAACAGTGAAAAAGTGACATTCGTTATAATAACATGCTAATGCGGCGAGACCGGCGAAGGTCCTTCAACATCCGCCGGCATATTTTCTTAGTGTTGCTCCGCGATCACTGATTCCCATTAAATCATTCATGTAACTAACCGCGTAACGAGAAAACAGAATTTCCTTGGAGTGATTCATCTGCTACGATTTTCGCAGACGGCGTTTTCATTCTGAGCACATGCTAAGTACAGAATAGCGATGAATATTAATATTGTTTAATATCCTCCTTTATTAGATGCAATACGTGGATTTCCATCGTTGGTAAGTCGAACAGTTAAATGAAGCTTTTCATTGAGAAATAGTTGCAGCAAATCTAGCTGTTTCATTTGAAACATGAATCTTTTATTTTTCAACATAAATGACTATAGCACTTCTTTTTCTTAGTACTATGTGAGGAATTTGGTCATAATAAAATTTATTTATAGGAATAAGTGATTCCAAATTAATTAGTTCTGATTAATGATCATAAAACATAAATTATGGTAATAATAGTAAAATAACCATCAACTGTACTCTTATTAGTAACTTACCATTCTTCAAAATATCCTGAATTTTAATATTTATATTCTAAGCTTTATCGATCTGTTAAATGTTCCATTAAATAACTCTGATTATTTTATTGCTTGTTAATTTAATGATAAATATTAATGCAGGGGTTTTCGTTTAACGTTTAAACGATGTTTCGTTGAAAATGAACAAATGTCTGTATGCTTTTAAATAAAATTATATTAAGCATCTGATGAAGAATAACTAAATGTTCTTTCTACTCGAAACAGGTAACTGATCGATCGGAACAGTTCGTGTGAGTTTTGAAACCAGGAAAATAGAGAAAATGGAAAATAGAGCCATACATCAGAAAAGAAGGGGCGCCGCGAACGCTGGGAAACTCGAGAGAATGATGAAGCGGTGAATCTGGCCGTTGGATGTGCGCGACAATTAACCAGGACTGAGTGGCATCTTGACAGTACTCGAAAAGATAAATGTATGCGAAGTGGCAACGCGGGAAAGCAAAAGCTGTCGGAAACAGGAATTTTAATGTAAAAGAATTGCGCTGGCATGTCCAAATCTTTCATTTTCAGTAAAGTCGAACATTAGTGGTAAGGAAGCTTTTGCAGATTAAAATATGCTGCAATATATTATACACAATATATAATTGGAATTGGATCACTTACTTCGATCACTCGCGGATGCTGTTAAATCTTTGGTGGAATCATCGTACGACGGACTGTTCACCGGCGCTAATTTGGTAATTAGCTTTGGCTCCGACGTTTTGATGGCACCACTGCTGAGTGCTATCACGCAGGCAAAGCAGAGCACCTGCAACTGAATGACAGAAGAACGAATTTTCTTATAAACAGTTCGACATAAGCTCTATAAATTATTTTGTATCATGAATTAATTGTGTTCTCGTTATCTGTTTATATTTTGTTAAACGGAATACTATTCGATATGAAATAAAATTTTGTGAAAATCTACTTATGTCGAAGTTGCTAAAAATTTTGGTAATGCGTGGAGTAGGAAGAAACGGTATTATCAAACGCAAAGACTACGTGTTCCCTTTTGTATCCTATGATACATTTTGAGTGTTTCCCACTTTCACTTCCTTTGATCCTAAATATTGGTAGAGAACGGCAGTGTATTCTTAAGAACGGAAACAGGATTATTTAGGCTATGTACACTGCACTTTACGTAACAAGGAAGATAAGGGAAGATACTAGATAAAAAACTTCGTGGCATCGGAAATTCATTAAAAAATTCTGATCAACGCTGGAAAGGTGCCATAGAGAAAAAAATATAAAAGTGAGCGCAACAGACGTTGTTCGAAGTATTCCTTACGGTTATGTTTAATAAAATTCACAGAACTGTATGACGCTGTATTAAAATTTTCATATTCACAGGCACGTTCCCTGCGCCGAATTTATAAACTTTCATTACATCCCGTATTTACGAAAACGAGAGTTACCGTAAATATTCGTAATCTAATAGTAATTCTAAAAAAAATGAGTCTCGAAAATTAAGCGACTTATCTGTGTACATAATAATTTGTAATGTTAATGATACAATTTTTTTTCTTCGAGGAATAATATCTTTACTAGCTTAAGAATAAATTTTCAACGTCAGTCTTTACGACGAAAAATACATACTTTTCGTTTAAATTTTCTAAACAGAAAAATAATATGTTTTTTATATGCTGTGATTAATATAGAAGAATACCAAGTACTGTCTCTGTAATTAAACAAAGCCGTTAATTACCGATAGGGGTAAAACAATCTGTCCTGCTTGTCTGGAACTAAGAAACTGAGTGCGAAAAACAGCTTTTATTTCACACCCGTAAAAATAAAACTTTCGTGTTAACGAGGATTTCATTCAGTTTACCCGCTAATTGCTTATGTTTCATTCTGTTTTTTTCTACGTTTCACGTGACGCAAACGAAATGCACCAGCAATCCTGTACAGGAATCACATATGGTCCATTCTGCGCAATTTGTTCGTATTTTTCATAGAAAGAATAATTTCCAATCGCTGCGTCTAAATGAACCAATTACCACACATGCATTTTAGATGCAAATCCTATTGCTTCCCGGAAATATCGGTTCTTCCACTGGGTCACTCGCGACAATTGCGTATTATTTATCGATGAATTTGTCATACGCGCACCATTCAGAAAATGAGCAAAAATTGTTTATCAGAACTAAATGAAAACTTGTACAAAAGGAAAATCCCGCTGGTGTACCTTTTCTCGCGTGAAATTCAATCAACATGCAGCATGGGCATATTAAAATGTACCATGAAACATTAAAATAACACGATTTTTTGAATTCGTTTACTGAAAACTGTGACGATCGAGTTTTACAAACCACAGTCAATATATTTTGTATCCACTGCCCCTCAATTTACGTCTAACTTATATTACAGCTTGATTAAAGGTACCCTTTGTTTCACATGTGCGTGTACTTTCAAATTACACGGAAGGGTAACAAATTCTAGGTGCAGTAAAATGACATCCACATTACAGTAGGTACCAATTCTCCAACGAAATATCGGGGAAACGTCGTACCACAAAACATCAAAGAAAAATGTCATTACCGTGCATGCACAACAAACGTACAATTTCATGCTAAACAGCTCTTATAACTCCACTCACAAGGGGCATCGTCAAAACCGCGGATTAAAATCGCTCGGTTTAAAAGTAATTCCATTAAACACTATCAAAAAGCGAAAGAACGTTACGGAGAAATGAGAGAAATGAGCGTAAAATAAAATGAAAAGAACCATTTAGATTCTTACGAGCACCCTCTGTTCAGGGGTAGAAGCCAAGCCCCGTAAAGAATAAGTGAAAGAACAAGGACGCAAAACGTTGTGCGGAGTCCACTTACCGGTAAGAGTGGTTGCATTTTTCTCAGCTGGGACGGACAAGAATTTTCACGAAAACGCCTTCACCCGGTTTCCGATGATCTGCTTGCAGAACACGGCACGAAACCTCCTATATACACGTTTCGCGTAACCCCTCCTAGCCTTCCTGGACAGGCTCCGAGTTTGTTTAAACTCGAGCCTTGCTCAGAAGACGACGTTGACAAGGCCGCTCGCAGAGAATCAGCCGGCGATTCGCTTGACACGCCTATAAGCATTGGCGGCGTGGTGTCTATGGGAAAATGTGTTTCCCTATTATCCAACGGTGCAGCTCTGGATAAAACGTTATTGCAAATAGTGAGTAGACTATTGTATATTGAATTCTGCGTGTACCTTCGAAAATAAATATTCTGTGTTTCATTCGTTGTACGATATATAACAAACGGATATATTAAATATTAAATATGAAATATTACAAATGAAATCCCTTTGAAATAGGAGAAATGGAACTTGTATGAAATATGAAAAATCGAATCCATGTGAAATATAAATTTATGCAATAAGCTTTTGACATAATATTTTATTAGTAACATTTTGTTCGGGGAATGCTGAGAGTATTTTCGGAGCTGTTGAAGGAATAGAATGTTGTAATCGAAATATTTTTGTTATTGAGATGTCGCTTCGTGTTTGGGATATTATTTTATTTGAGACGCACGGCGTAACATATTTTGAAGAGTTTTTAAGTTTTTCAAATAATATTTTTTTGAAACTTTCTGTGTCCCCGCCGATGCGTCGAACGTTCACGTTCATGATTATTCTTCGATTTCAGCTAACATCATCGCGCAGGGACATGACATTAACTTCAAGTAGTTCAAGATCAGTGAAATCGAGCTGATGAGCTTCGGAAAGGGAATGTTCTGTGCGGAACGCCCGACAATTTGTTAATGATAACATTTCGCTCTTTAATTCCTGGTCGTGGCTGTCACGATTGTTTGACTGACATGCGTGACAACAGAGAAAAATACTGCGAATCGTTTTGATGATTCAGCGTGAGAATTATCATTTCTAATCATTAGTAACCCGAAAATTTTGTATCTTTTTTTTTAATTTCTGAGGAATTAAAGAATTGGTTTCTGATATTTCTTTAATTTAACATTTAAAGCTGAAGAAAGTGCATTAATCTTTAAGGACTGTCTTCATCTAATTCAGACCAGAAAGTAACGAAAAAGAAAATGTTCATACTTTTATTCAGAAGTATAAATCAGTAAGATAAAAAGGAACTACATTAAACTTCGATAAACTGTATTAAAAACTTCAGACTCAAGAAAATCGACTTTGTAAATTTATTTTGTACATATTCGAACAAAATATAATAAAATTTTATACCTTAATAAAATACAATAAAATTTTGTACCTTAATAATGAGATAAATTTAATCACAGTTTATTTAATAACTGTCAGTGACAATACTGAAATTTTGAATCACAATCGTTATTTCGACGATTAATGAAATTACGCAAGTGGAAGCAATTCCCATTATGAAGAACAACTCAATTTTCCACATTAGCGATGTACAAAAAAAATGAGAGAACGCTCTCCGGGCATAAGGACACATCAACCACGCCTTCTTCATCACATTGTATGTTCTGGTTTATTCCCAGGTTAAATTACGTGTTACGCCATCGAAGTCCTTCTACTACAGATATTTGCCAATGAGTCACTAATACTTCGTTGTTGCTAGTTTGCAGGAATCTCCGCTGATAAAATATTTCAAACACTAATTTACAAATGCATAAAATCCGCAGACCTTCATTCATCACATATTTCTCAATATTTTAATGAATTCTCTTAAACAACTGGATTATAGGAAGTCTCAGTAAGCCTGTTACGCGAAACCAGATTTGAAAACAAGAAGCTCAGGTTTTATATTACGTGAAAATTCTAAAAAAAAATATTGCATTATTCCACTCTAATTTCTCCTTTATTTTCTTTATCCTTATTTTCCTTTCTGGTCACTTCTTCCACCCTTTCATTTCCTCCTCCTTTCTTTTTCGTTTACTTTCGATTCTCAATTCTTCCTTCTCTTTTATTTTCCTTTCTCTCATCTGCGACAATTCACTCGATACCCAGACATTACAAGTACTCCTTCTCGAAATATGTTCTTCTGTTATTTTCCAATTAAAAGCGACAGAGTTAACGTGCCAGAAACTAGTTAGAACAATTCCCTAAATGGATCGTTCACGACAATAAAAAATCGGTTAATCGGTTAACCGATAACGATAACGACCACGAGCATTTCCGCTTGCCCAGCACATTCGTTACAAAGTCCACAAAAAAAAGAAGAAGGCGGCATTACGACACGAAACATAACGTTTCGGGCACACCCTCGTGCCACAACACACACGCCGCGAACGGTGTGGCCATTGGCACGGCTATGAGAGCCCCGAGTACGGTGCAACGTACACGTTTAATCCGTAGACAGTTGCAGAGACAAGTGATATAATGTACATGAATATTCATGGACACTAACGTGTAGACTACGAGCTCGTTTGCCTCATTGTTTGTCGAGACAATGGGAAAACCACCCTCGACGAGCGTCACTACTTTCTTTCTTGTGTCGGACAAATGATTAAGCTTGAACCTATTTTGATCTGGAACATTTCTATTGCCCGGAAATTTCGGCTGAATGGTTCCGAAGATTTTGTAGGAACTTTTCTCATTACTGCTGTAGTTGATGAGATCCTGGAATACAGATAGAATGCTTTATCTGTCTCTTTGTATACAATTTTTTTTTGTTCGTTATTCTTTTTTTCCGTCAAATAAATGTTGAAAGCGGATTATATCCGGATCAATTGAATTCGCAACGGAATGCATTAAACTTGGCGCGCTCTAGATTCAGTATGAACTGTCAAACGAGAGGCAATTACCAAAACTTTTCTCTGTGAACGTGGATTTTACAGTAAATATTGAAGGATCAATTTTATTTCGGTGTGTAATGTACACTCGTTCTTTGAATACGCAATGTTCACTCGCTGTTTCGGTAGACAATGTTTCACATCGCATTCCTCGCTTCATTTACACATTCGCGTACTTCCATCTCAATCGCACAACTTACAGAACATTCTTTCATTACCATGAATTAACTTCATGTATATTTGGAGTATTCTAAATTCATTAAAGTGAATAGCGTTAATATGTAAAATTTTTAGATAATATATTCTAGAATATTCCAACATCATGAACATTCACACGCACACGCACAGTCGCCGTTCATCTATTTCACACACCTTCATTCGTATATCCATTCCCTCACTCAGTTCCCATTCGCTCTACAATATTCTTTTTATGTAAGAAATGAGATCGAGAGAAGATGTTTTTTCCTTTTCAAGTAAATATTTAGTGGATAAATCGGTTCTTGCGCATAACGTAAAGGCACGAGCGTCTTTTGTTTATCGGATTCGAGCGCTGAAAGTTTCTAATTCAATTCCGAAGTTACTTAAACGTCTTGTGAATGGATTTATCAGATTCGAGAAAACTTCAGTTGAAAATCCAACGAAGGACGGAATATCAAATCTCGAGATTTACGAAAGAGAGCAGCGTGAAGTAAGTGTACGCGAAATTTTTAATTTCACTTCATTTGCGAGAACGAGGTATAAAAGAATTCAGTCTGGAGACTTGTGAGCGAAATTTGGAACGTTTGTGGCGTATTAATGTGTACGAAATTATACCGAGACGTTGTTTATTGGTTGATATCTATCAGTTGTCGAAAATGTAATTATAATCAACATGAACGGAAAGTGTTGCTTCTCGATTACAACACTCCATTGGTTTATCGATTTTCTGTCAGAGCCATGTTTATTGAAACCCGATATCTCCTTTCGTTTCAAGGGAAATAGTAAGTTAGTAACAATACCATCTTCTTTACTAACTCAATTGAATACGATACACGAAAAATTGTCATAATTATATACTTTATATATTATCAAAAATATATTATATATTTCTTATACATTACCAAGACTTTATTTTCATAGTTCCGTTATTTCAACGAAAATACTAATAAGAATAATTAACCAATTTAAATCAGATTACTACTTTAGAAAAATTCATTCTCAGATGTTAACTAATAGTCAACTTCTTACAATAGATGCATGTTTTCTTCTCCGTGGATGCAACGAATTAATTTATCACGAAATTTCGAGAACAATACAAATTAGAAACAGGTCCAGCGATTTCTCGGTTTCTAAGAGGAAAACGTGTTAATTCAATCGTGTGAATTCTGCTCGCACACAAGGACAACGCTTTTGACAAACGTCGCTTAATAATTTAACCGTAACTCCTGGGAATATTCAACGCATCTTACAATTAGGAGTATCCACTGAAGTTCCACGAACGACGAACAGTTGTCTTAATAAACTTCGAAGTTACAAAGCAGTACGAATCTAAGACACCTTAATCATACTTGACTTTAGAAGTTCCTGCTTCATGGTCGTTCATAGTCAGTCCCGCTATCGTTGCTTACTTAACAACAACAGTTTCATTGTTACTCGACTTACGCTCTGATGATTTACATTGTACAGAAAAGAATATATTTATAAAACATTTTTATATAATCTTTCAAATAAAATGAAACATTCACTGACGTTTTATCCTCCATTCGACACCAGCTTTCGTAAATTACTGCGTAAAAATTTATGTTTTCATAAAACTTCACCAACTACTCTGGACGAAGGATCTTCCCATAAAACATCTTTATGGTAATAAGGGTACGAGAGATTTATTCTAAAAAGGAACATTAAGAAGATGGATTTTGCGTAGAAATGTTTTCTATAATGTAACATTAAACAACATTGAAAAATGAATTTCAGATTGTAATTAAGTTAATGATACGTATTTTCAAGATTTTCTCTTTCCGAGACAGTGATTAAGTGTAGCAAACTTTTCTTTATGAAAAAGATCATTTGAACCCAATAAAAGATTGTCGTCATATTTTGAATACAAACAATAAAAACCTATTCAAAAAGGAAAACGGATATAATTTTAATTTGTAGAATTTCTATATCATGCAGAATAACAAAGCACATTAAACGGAATACTCGCGTATGCAGAATGGCTGTCGCTTTTAACGGACATGGCTGTTAACAAATAATAAACGTCAAAATATCCATGCAATAAGGAAATATCTTAATAGTTCAGCTGTCATTGGGTATTTTTTATTTTTCTCAGATAATTGTCTGTATAAGTTCTCATTAGTAGTACCCTTCGTTCGAATAATAATTACACATTATTCACAGCAGATTATTCTATCTATATATTTGAAAAATTTACTCGAGATTGTAGACAACTAATTACTGTTTATATTATAACTATTAAACATCCAATTTCAAAAGTTTGATGTTTATCAATCAGCTGAATATCTAACCAAGGAGCTTTGTAATGTTACTTTTTGAAGTATTCTATTACATTACTCATATACCGTTCTTTATCCTAGAAGATCTCCGGTGGACTGAGAGTGCTTCGAGTTAAGTCACCATTGAATAAGAAGAATATATCGTGACACAATTTCAATTTCAATTTTTACTTCAAAAGAAAACGTGAAAACAATTCTAATAAATATTGCTTTATATCGCTTTCGTCTATTGGATTTATAAATATAATAATCTACAATATTTACACTTATCACAATATTCTAAAACCGTACAATCAATATTTTTCTGTATGATATTTTAATTATTGGAATAAAAAGAAAGTTTGTAATTTGCACTGTTTGCTTTAAATTAAAATAAACTGCTCCTTATCATCTGCAACCGGACTTGCAGTTTCGTAAGTCGGTTTGCAAATAATGTTCCTGACAGTGGCCAAATGATAAATGGAATTCTGGTTAATCTCTTGCCGTACAATGACGACTAAGACACGTGACGAAGTTTTCTAAATTAATCGAATAAAACTTAATGTTGTACATTGCATATGGTTCACAGTAAATAAACTATTTTGCTACTGCCAATCTATTATCTTCAAAGTGAATTTGCATTTACGGTGGAACGGAAAATTTCCTTGCGTTTCTTCTAAAATATTGGTAGTTAAAAATTACATCAGCTTAGCAGTAAAGGAAAATAATACAGCAAGGGGCTAATAAGTTCGTCACTCACTACAAAACTAAACCAATTTCGTAAGATAATGTATGTATTGGAGACAAGAAAGAAATTGTCTCTTGAAGAAGGAACTTAGTGCGAGAAACTTTGTAAATGTATACCCTTATTAAGATTCAAGACGGTTTATCACTTACACTAAAGTGGAAACTTCATCGTTATTAAATGAAAGAGTGTGCAGCTTGCTGTCAGAGTATAATAATGAACTGTAAATTTCCAAAAGTGTCTATACAAATTGTCAAAAAATTCATTTCCATAAAATAATCTTGAAAAATCTACATTTACATAAAGATCTCCGGGTTATCACTGTTCGAGCGACTGTGGAATTTTTTAAACAGTTTCGTATCTTCGCCATCACAGATCGACCATACAACAAGATCAAATACAAGTGTTACAGATTTGTTAGAATTCGAGTAATAAAAATTTCGATCACGTTTCTCACTGGCTCTTGTGTAAATACATAATTCTTTTAACGACCGTTCTGTAGTAACACGCACAAGTTCCTCAATTCAGCAGTTGGGCATTTCAACTGACCTCTATCCAATACTGTCGAACCGCATTGATTCTTCTATGAATACGCTGATCGAAGAAAAGATCTAAGAGGCTCTTCTATTTTTTCAAAATGATTTTTCATTCATTGTAAGAATATCTTCGAAAAGTTTTCTACGATTAGCGACATTTTATCTTGTTAAAAAAGGAATTATGCAAGAAATTTGTTTGTGATTTATATGTTTTGATCCCTTTCCACGTTATTTCAGGAATTATCTGAATAATCCGCGTGTACATTTCGGTAATTCATTTTCCCAGGTGCTTCAGAAAGGCATTCAAAGCACTTACTATGTCGCCGAATGTATAATTCAGCACAGAGTGCCATCATATACGATCTAAATTAATTCTCGAACTACAATATACATATTTAAAAAGCTACATTTAATGCTACATTTAAAAGATCCTTCTAAACACTAGATGACAATGACATCTTCAACCAGTTTCAAGACGTTCAATAATAATGGTATTTGAAAATACCGTCGGGAGGTTAAATACGTAAAAGGGTTGCATTAAAATACCTTCAACGCATTAACGCTACAAATGTTAAATGTGTTAAAATACATTTGCGATTCTTGCCATTGCCATTACTGAAATCATAAAACCGTATTAATAGGAGATTGTTAAATAAATACGTTGATATTCACAAATATTCAATAAAGAGGCTCCTGCAACCTTTACACGACATTAAAGACGAGTTACTTTTAATATTCCACATTCAATGTTAAAATACTTTCATTGAACTGTTACGATGAGCCAAGTGTCCTTAAATTGTCCTATCAGTTTAATCAATTTAAAACACCACCACCAGCATTTACTTCGAGATGATCGCGACAAATACTTCCATTCACTAACAGTCATGCTGAAACTCTAAAACATCAAAGGATATTTCAACAGCATCATCGGAATGTTCAATTCCCTGCGATTTCCTCAAATTCCGGAATTCGTAAAATTCGTTCGCGACGGGTGGCGAACACAATGCGACGGCAGCAACGTCGACTACGAAAATAAAGAGGAAAAAAAGATAGAACGGGAGAATGTATACAGAACTGTAATACACGAATAACTCAGCTCGTTCATTATTCACACGTAAATTTCCGCAAACGAGAGGC